TCGAAACTAGATCAATGATTTATATCTGTCGGTCTAGATCTAGACCTAGGCCATAGATCTAGAAGAACCTAGTTTTACCCTGAGCCAAGAGGGCGCTGGAACTCTCCGAAATCACAAAAGAGTTCCCCTACCGGGTCTGTATACTTTGTGACTTTGTTCCCGGTTACCGGGTCTGTATACACTCCCTTCTGGAATTTGCGCCTGATTTTCCTTGTGGTTGGATGGTGATGGTATCGAATAAGTCTACAAGGTGTGACTTAATCAATTGATTATGTTCAAGTGGAACAAAGGAGAATACAAACATTTTACTTGGCGAGGGAAGCTTGATACTAAGACAGTTTCCTATAATTTTCTAAAAGAGTAAAAGTATAAATTGATATTATGTCCAAAAAAGGATACGAAAAAAGAAATGATAACAACCCAGTCCCATCCCCCCCAAAAACAACAACAACAACAACCCCAAAACCAACCAACCAAAAAAAAACCCCAACATTCCCCATACTTAGCAAACGGATGAGATCCAAGCCCCCTCCTAAAATAAATAAATAAAAATAATAAATAAACAATTTGAATATCCGATACCCATCCAAAGCGCTAAAATAGAATCGATACCAAAAGGAAAATATTTTCTTTAAAAAACGGCGCAAATTTCCGTCTACCCTCTCAAGGGGCAGCGCAGTACATCACTGGTCACTGACTCACCGACTGCTGTCACTCTTCTGTCACTGAGACTGGACATCACGCTGGGTGTGAAGACCGTGGATGGATGAACAACAGGGTGCTAGTTTGCCGGTGCAAAAGCTCACAGATAGGAGAGCAGGAGACTCGGTATTTCACTTTATTTCTTCCGCCTTCTCTGACGTGGCTACCGTATTTGATCCCTCGCCTTTGATTATCCCCTCCCATCCCTACCCACGTGGAAGAAAGCTAATAAACACCTAAAAATAACACACACACACACACACACACAAACACACGCACACACACACACACACACACACACACACACACACACACATTGCAGTATATGTATAATATATACTCTGTGGGAAGGGTTAATAAAAATGTATAAACAAATGAATGAACAAACAATAATTTTATGATAGATGTATGAATGAATGAATGAATAAATGGAAGAATGAATAAAAGAATGAAGGAATGAATGAATGAACGAATGAATGAATGGATACTTTTTTTTACAGGGAAAGGAGCTGAGTTTGAAGGAAAAAAAAGTTTGTGAAAAACGCACATAAAAGCTGAACCATATAAAGTGAAGTCCGAGACTTCAATTAGTCAGTTTGCTATCTGTGACATGGTCCATATATTCTCCCGTCGGGGTATAACTATGTTATATCTTTTCTTTAACAAAGAACTCAATTATACGTCTCGACCCTACCCCTGGTGCTGGTTATCTTTTGACTGCTCACTTTTTATTGTGTGCTGGTTTTTGCTGGTAATATGTTTTGTCACTCTTCAAAGTATTCTATGTTAACATAATTCTGTGCCGTTAAACCTTTTGTATTCTTCCTTCCTTCCTTCCTCCCTTCCTTCCTTCCTTCCTTCCTTCCTTCCTTCCTTCCTTCCTTCCTTCCTTCCT